ATGTTGTTGGGAAATTAACTAGGCCTTCTAGGCTTGGTTCCTCCGCCCCGCCCCCAAATCACCTAGTCCCAGTCTTTTCATGTGAAAAAGCGCTGAATATGAAAGGCCTAGGTCTAGGCTGGCCGGATATGATGTCATTATAATACATTGCAATTGTCGCAGAAAAACCCTAATTTACAATTCATCTAATGACATAACGTCGTTAAAGTGAGGGTTTTTCCAACAAACATATATTATAGATTTTTTCTTAGAATGACTAAAAACGTATATTAGTGGCACTCTAGAAACGTTTCGTAACACACGCTTCCGGACCATAAGCCACGTTTTCGTGAGGCGAAGGTGGCGTACCTTCCGGAAGAGCGTATTGTGGTATTCTTCATTTCTCAGACTCATTAATTCAAGAGTAAAACACAAAGGAACTATAGGGCATCGTTTTCAACATATTTTTCAGTGCTTTTACGAAACTTGTTGTCAAACATTTTCTGCATGGCAGCAGTTTGCAGGACATTTTCCAGGACTGAAAATGATGTTTTTAACATCGCTACCTCGCTTACCATTTCACAATCCAAGGCATATATTTTCTTTCTTGGAGATTTTGGATTTCGTCTTGTCTCAGTAAAACCTGTTTCTTCAGACCAATAAGTTGGTCGAACATGCGCCTAAAAATAATGTCATTTTAACATTTACTTTGAAATTACATATAATCAGGTTTTTTATAGATATCGCCTGGATTGAATAATGAATGTGCCTTTATGAACAGGACACTAGTAGCCCATGCTGCTCTCTGTGTTTGCGGCATCCCTGATCTCTGTCAACATTTACCACCATCGAAGCTGTGCATATTCCTCTGTCACGAAATTGTTCATAGAGCGGGGAGGGTGAGAGTAAAATCAGGTTTACTTACCCACATAATTGATCATTTATCAAAACTCTTGACAATACCATTCGTAATGAGCATGACACATTGTACAAGTTCATGCGAAAACAAACCCAGAAAAAGATGCTGATCCTTAAGATTGACAGTAGCATTGCAACTAACCTTAGAAATAGAACAACCTAAACAGCCAGATTCACCTTGACAACATGTATATGACGTCACTATCTCTCCCGCAGCTACAAATAATCAAGAATATACAGTATCAGTTGTACAGTATACTGTATTACCTCGCATATATATGCAATTTACCATGTTCAATAATCACCATAGCTGGTTGATGTTTAAATACCTGTAAGCATTATATACAGGCTCAATTTGATAACATTTAAGCAAAGCGTCGTACGGTGTACAGTAAGGGCATGCGTCTACCTGCACAGATGTTTTATGTTACGGTTTATTATAGTGACGTTCTCACTTGCATGTTTAACCCGATTTGTTCCCCAAATCCTGTCACATACTACCAACTTTACGTCCCATTCTTGGAAAGGGCATGGCATATAAAATTATTAAATATTAGAAAATCACAAAAGCCGTTAATCTTACTTCTATTTCGAAGCAAACGTCCATGATGGTAGACACACTCCTCTTTATTTGGATATTCTCCTGACTCCAATACTACGAATGCTTTACCACATCGACAGCAAATATGACGTGATGCTGTAAAATTATAACTTAAATAAGTATTGATACTACGTTGCATAATTACAGTGTGATACAGTTTGGTACAAAAGAAAGGGTGGAAGCATCGTGGTTTATTTTTCACTAGGCTAAAAAAAATATGTGGGTTTCCTATTTTTCTTGTAAAAACTTAGGTAGGGTAGGTCGGTTTTAACTTTTTTTTAAACTTTTTTTTAAAATTTTCCTAACAACCGGACGCATTTTGTTTAGTCAGTGCTTCCACATTCAAAGATATATTTCCCTAATATTGCCTCAAATTTCCATTTTTCACAAACGTTTTCCTCTACATGGAAACACTTACAAACATGATCCAATAAAAAAGTTTAGGGTCGGGATTTCGACGCCATGTAATATCCTCTATATATCTGCAATAAATAGTGAGTAAATTAGATGCAGTCATACTTACGATCATTTACGTTTCTCTTCACCTTCGAATAGCAATCAGTAATCTCAGCATGACTTGGAATACTTGATGGTCGAGGATATCCATTCCCTTCCAATTCTTCTTTAGTTAATATATATTTCTGCATCCGAGCATAAAATTCATCCTCTATAACAATAGTATTCATATAAAAGTTCATATCTGTTACTTCTGTTCCTATATCTAAAAATCCTTTATTTGGTGTTTCTGGTTACCAAAGTGCAACTTAGTTTCGAAAAACACAATGGAATGTATGCATGGATTTGAGGTGTATTGTATGGAATATAAAAATATATTTTCCACCATATAGTATTAACTAAAGTGTTGGTTGCTACCCATTAGCTAACCCCTCTGTACTACCAGTGGCGTCAGTATGACAAACAATCCGTTTTCAAAGCCCAAACAAGTTTTCGCTGAACGACCACATTTTCAAAGGCCGAAAAGTATACAGTGTTACGTTTTTCGAAAAGAAATAACATTAGGATAATCATCGAACAAAAAGTCCTAATATTTGGAAAACTTATAATACTGAAAAAATTAGTGTGCTCGTCCAAGCCAGGTTGTTTACCTCCGCTCCCACCCGAACCCACGCTATGTCGTAGATTGTGTGAGGGTGGGAACAGAGTCAGGCTTGCGAGGTGGGTAATCTTCTTGCTATCTGTCTTGTTATGTACCTGGTATTTCGTCATCTTTTACTGTTCCACTCTTTGGTTCGAGGCCAACATTATGTTCGATATTGTGGATGACTTTGGCAACATTAGCCGAAGCTGATGGGTCAATTTTCAATCGTTTTGTTGGGCTGGGTAACGTAGATTTGCTAGCTAAAGGATTACGTTTGGTAACCTCCACATCAGATTGGTCACTGGCATCACGTAATTTCTTAATAAGATTGACACATAAATTGATGTACACTTGACGTCTTGGACTTTTCATGTAAACTTCCCTTTCTTCTTTTTCTGCCTATTTACATAGGATAAATATTTTTAAATAATTAAGGAAGAAATAACAGGCCAACTGAAACCCATGCACTGACAACATTTTCAGTAAAAATACGGTTTTTGGAAAGCAACTAAACGGAGCTCTAGGGTTATCTAGACATAAAATTCCATAGTGTTATTGTTCTATAGTGTTAACTACGCCAAGCATGACTATATTTTGACAATCACGCCCATTTCTGAAACTCATCAAATGGCTTCATTGAGATTGTAAAAGTGAATAAATCTTGTACAACACACACCTGTAAAACGAAGCGGGAGTTTCCAAGTAAAAGACAAAGTAAAAGATAAACATTGAACCTAATACCCTCCAATTACTTTTCCTCCGTTTTTCGTGTCTTTTCGAAAAAAATGACAATGACGTTAGTGAACGCGGTTTCTAATGGCGTCAAGATGACACGGACAAAAAAGGAAAAACGTTTTTATCGCCTTTTTACGTCGGTTTCCTGTTTTGGTTGTGTGAAAAATCACCACAGCCTGAGCCTACTAATACATTGTTTAACTTGCAGTCAATATTAGCATAATATTAAACTCACCTTATTAAATGCCTCTTGCTGATCTTCATACATACACAGATATTCATCGACTAGTTTATCAAGGTATTTCTGTCTCACATTTTGCGGTACTTTTGCTCCATATTCCAGTCTTATTCTTGGTCGTTGAAATAATGTTCCTGATGATTTTGTATAGTGTGTAACTCTTTGTTTTACATGAGTTGACGCCACCAGATCTCTTTCACCCTGAAGATATGAAGACTTTAGGACAAGAAAAACATAAAAAGCATACAATATTGATGTGTTCTCTATAGCCCTATCGACCCCTCCCATAGTCCTATTGTTACAGCTCTTTTGCGAATTGAAGCAACCATAAGATGGCGAGTGATAATCGAAGGTTTTGCCAAATTAAATGCGGTGTTGTAGGAGTAATATCATCCGATTCCTTTCGCACTCAAATTTAACGGCCATTTTAAAGATATTTTCGCACAGATTCATTCGCTAACCCTATTCTGGATATACAAATATTTGGTCAGTCGTTGTCTCAGGAAACTTGTCTCCTAGCTTTCGCAAAAGCAGTGACTGTTCTTATATTCCATCATATTCCATTTTATTCCTTTTTTATTCTTATTTATTTTATTTTACAAGATTTGCCAAACACAACAAACATAAATCACTAAAACATTAAACAACGTACATATCGTACAGGCATGGACTGCATGACCACAGAGATAATATCCAATATACCCCAATTATTAGTTGCATTGCCATAACGTTGACTGTCAACATACATACTAAATAACTCATAGCACGTCTACAAAAAGTACAGATATTTATGTTCTTGTACTGTACCTGTGATTTAGGTTGAGTTACTTGACGGGGTGGAGGAGCTAATGTTCCTTGCAAAGGACGAGGCAATCGTCTGAATGGATTTGAACTGCTTCGCGATGCTGTTGCACGATGTATTACCTGAAGGATACGATAATACTTCGTCATTTGTGATCTTAACTACACGGTATACTATTTAAAAACAACTGCATTTGTTTACAATGAACAGACTTTAGCGTTATTTCCATTTGGATCGCCGCTGTCGCAAGCAAGACATGACCTCCGATTAACAAGTATAGCAACACCCAATTATATCGTCTACCATGCATGACATGATCGCGACCATCACTACCAAATAATGTAAACCATGGCTAATACACTATACGTTAACTTACTAGACTTGGTTGATGAGCTACCCGTTGTTTCTTAAACCCTACAGGAATTGATTCCGTAGATGGTCTTTTTAATCCAGCTATAGATTTTGGTAATTGTTGTATTTTATCATCCTCCACATCAATATTCAACATATGGTTATCCATACTATCCATAACATCTGGTTCATCATTATCGGGATCGTAATCATTAAATATCCTTAGTAACTCATTTTCTTCACTATCATCCTCCATGTTATTATCCATGTCTGACTCAACAACATTAGATTTCTTTATTTCTCCACTACTCTGTTCAGTATCTGAAGAGATAACCAGTACACTTTTTCCAGGACTTGCCACAACACTCGTTTTCTTCACATAATCTTTGACTATTATATCTTTATTTCGTTCCGTTTTTCTAGCAATGTCTTTTTTCCCAGATTTAGAGGTAGAGATTTTCGCGTAGTCTGTAGCAACATTAACTTCCTTATTTGAGACCTTAGCTGGCTCTTTCGAAATTTTAGTTCGCTCTGTTTTGTCAGGGCTTTCACTCTTTCCAGAAGCTGATATTTTGCCAGAACTTGTTGTAGTGCTTAATATTTTCTTAGAATCCTTAACCAGCTCTTTTGTTTCTTTAGTTCTCTCTGTTTTCTTAGTACTATAAATCTCTCCAGAAACAGAAGCAGAACTTTTTACAGGATCCGTTGCAGTATTTATGTTATTCTCTGAATCCTTGACTAGTTTCTTTAACTCTTTATAGCGCTGAATTTTACTCTTTTCTTTAGTAGTAGCTAATTTACTCTCACTCAACTTTTTCTTTAGTTTCTTCTTGTCTTTCGACGCGTTCTCGCTTTTTTCTTCTTTCTTGACTTTGGTTGCTTGCGTTTTTTCTTCTTTCGAACTCTTCTTCTTATTTTGCTTCGAGACATCGGCGCTGAAAAAATTGACGTCTGTTAATTTTGGTGGTTCTGGCTTAGGTTTCTCTCTTTTGATCTTTTTAATTTCACTTTTATTCTTCTCTTTCTTAGTCTTCACTTCGATGTCCATTCCAGTTCCGTATTTTTGAAGATCCTGAATCATTGTATTTAATTTTGTATCCTCCTTCGGTTCCGTACTTTTGTGAGCTTCGTGAAGTTCCTTAGTGTCCAGTTCAGTATCTTTATCTCTTTTCAGCTTCTCCACAACTTCTTTGTTACTCTCATCATCATTTCCTGACATGGTAACGTCTGTTGATTCCATCTCAGAAAGCTGGTCATGTTGAGTAGGTTCTGGTAGAGCTTCCTCTTGTTCTGATGACAATTTCTTTTTTTCTATGTTGTGTGGTTCATTCATACCCTCACACATGATCATTTGATCTTTCAAACAGGGTAGAACATCACTTTTTTCAGTTTCCAAATTTTCACTATTTTCAACAACTTCTTTCTTATCCGTTCTTTCCGGCTTACTTGTAGCTGTAGTTACAATGCTTGTAGCCCCAGAAGTTTGTGCCACATTAGCCACAGAAGCAGTCTCGCTGCAAATCGACGAATCCGAAACATTAGAAACACTGCGGTTTTTTTCACCCCCTTCATTGTTCTGTGAAACTAGACTATCTGGAACCTTGGTCACTCCAGTATCTATCTGCTTCTTTCCTTTCTGCTGAGTCTCAGCGTCACTGTCAGAGTCGGACAAGACTTCATCTGCACTGCGAGAAAATGCAATTAGTTTTTCTTCAAGAGCAGTTCTCTTAAATATAGTCTTGGTCGAGGCAGTTGGTTCATCTGGTATTTTATGTTCATTTTTATCAACCTTGTCTTTAACTGTGACCTTGCTCTTTACGTCTTTCTCTTTATTTTGAAGAGATTCCAAGGACGGTTTTACAATTTCGGTATTTTCTTCTTTTCTTGATTCTGCAAAGTAGAAAGCACTATCTTTTAACTTGTACTGTCAAATACATACTGCACGATACTGAATTCAACAAGACGCCAGCTCAGGCGTCTCTTCGTTCCGGCTGGGGGCAACAAAAGACGCACAAAAAGAGCATAGTATCAGTACGAAGATGCGTAATAATAGCAAGGTTTCGAATTTAAATGAATTTTCAGTATCCAACTTGGATACCAGAGACAGTATCTGTACTTCACTTCTGGCAACCCACAGCTGAATGTGAACGTTTAATTCCAAAATATAGTGAAGGAGTGAATTGATGGATCACTCGGACAACAATTATCATAAGATTAAAGAATCACAGTCAACTATGATGGTTTGCGCGCTAAAATGTTTTGATTCTTTTGTATTCCGCCATTTTATTAGCCACTTTACTGACGAAAGATTGACATCCTTATCAATCTGCATTATTCTTGGACGATGTCATATTTTTTATAGTTGGAATATGTTAAATAGATTATTGACTGAGATTTTGGCGTGTGTTTTTATCTTACGCAATGATTTTAGAAAGTTTTCTCATTTTATAAAGTAGATGGCTAATCATGGCTTCTGGATTTCCCGTTCGTGGAAGGCCAACAAGTGAAGGTATATGAAAAATAATATTGTTGACAAGTTCAACGATACTTGAACAACCGTTCTTTGGACGGAAAGGAAAGAAAGCCTGGGAATACGGGGGCTTTCGCATTAGCGAGTTCGCCGAAATCTTGCTCCATCAAAACATGGACAAACTGCGTGAACGTAGCAGGCGATAGGGCAGGAATCAGGATTTCATCAAAACATCAGCGGGTAAATGTATTAAAGTTTTTTGTTTATAATAAAGCTAATGCATATCTTTTTTAGTGTATGTATATGTAAGCATTCACATAGCGCGCGAAGCATCACGGTTGACTGTGATTCTTTAACCAATTTATCCAACTGTTAAGGGCAATAGACACAGGAAAAAGTCTACAACGGACATTTATTAAAACTATGCTACATAGTTTAACCCTTAACTTGTCCTTCAGACAATCCAGTATAATTGACATATAAATTCACGGGAACTCAGTGATCCAAATTTCGGATTTCCAGAGTCGTTGCACAAAGAAAAACACATTTAATTTAACACGCAAGAAAGTCCTGAGTGTGACACAATGTAAATCCATAGAAAACCAGTGAATGGCCGCCATTTTGAAAATTGATTCCACTGAACTGTATAGCCAGGTGTCACAGGAGCTTATTCACTTAATTTGGATTTCTGCACCTTGGGCCTGCGATTCGTTAGAGGAATCTCACGTTTGTGGCACCCCAAAAATCTACAAAACTCCCAGAAAACTCCCATTGTGAAGCTCAAGCAGTACCAACCAGCGTAATAAGTGATGTATTGTATATTATACTTGCCGTGCAGCTATTAGTAGCAGCGGCGGCGGAACAGATTTCGTTCTGGGGGGGCTAAATTTTTTCGGCGACCTCCCAACCCCCCCCCCCGGGTTTTACCACTTTAGGGGTACAATATACAAAAAAAGGGACGAAAAAACTTTTTTCGGACTTATATAAAAAAAAATTTTCGCAAATACACTTTTTTTAAACAAAATATTGCAAATTTGTCCCCTTATACCTAAATTTTCAAAAAATAACCTAAATTTTTCCCTAATTATCAATTTTTTTTCCAAAAATTCAAATTTTCTGGGGGGGCTAAGCCCCCCCACATTTACTTCTGGGGGGGCTTTAGCCCCCCTAGCCCCCCCTGTTCCGCCGCCCCTGATTAGTAGTGACCAGTCTTAAAAATGTGTACATAACGTACAAACCACTTCATATCCCAGCATTTGCTAAACAGTAAATCATAATTGTATATACCAGATAGATAGAATATTAAAGCTCACCAGTAGTTTTCTTCGTATTTGATGTTGAACTAGGCTTGTATTCTACAAATGAGAAATGACAGCATTAATTATTACATGGAATCGCTCAAATTCCGATATCATTGTGTCCACAGGCCTTGAAAATTCTGGAAAGTCCTTGAAAGATCTCGAATTTCTTTCCAGCTGTGATGATAACAACAGCACTTAATTGACACTCCATTTTAGCTATATAACCTGGATTTTAGGATGAACAACGGTTGACAGTTTGAGAGTAATATTAACATTATTTAGACCTTTGATTTCGAATTTAATAGTAGTTTTCAGGAAGCAACATATGTTACAGATATGTTTACAAATAGATGATCAGATAATTACAAATACTACCATATTAGACTCCTGGGTGTATGTAGATACTGACGAAAGTATTAACTTTAGCTATCATATTAGCGAACTTTGTAAGAAGGCCAGCCGAAAAGTCGGGGTTCTAATGCGACTGCGTAATCTTATTCCATGCTCAGCTAAATAAACAATCTATAAGTCATCTATTCTCCCATACCTCACATACTGTCATGTGATATGGCATTTTTGTAAGGCCTCTGATAGTAGAAAGGTAGAGCGCATTCAAGAACGAGCATTAAAAGCACTGAGCAGTATATAGAAACAAGTCGGAATCATATGACACGCTTCTTGAACGACCGGGCTTATTAACATCATTAAGAAATCGGAGATTACAAGATATTGCAATTTATATGTATACATGTAAAAAATCAATTGGCACCAAGCATGCAGTGTAGCTGAAATCTTCCGGGTTAAAAAATGACGGTATTCATTGCGATTTTGATATACCCAGATTCCAAACAGTTGGTTTTGGTAAGCATTCGCTACGTTACTTTGGCCCAGTACTATGATCAAAGTTGCGTAGCGATATTAAAAGCTCATCCAGCCTTGCGATATTTAAGAACATGATTCGCAAATTAGACATTGAAACGGTAATTGCTGCATTTTATGCAGCATTTAATGCGGAATATTATGCAGCACTTAGCACTTATTATTTTTATACATATATATTTATATATAGTAGATTATAGTATTGATATTATAGATAAATAGTCTCCCCAATTAGCTATACTATTGCTAAATAATGTATAGATACTTTAATTAATAAAGATTATTCAGAATTATTATGTGCCATTTTCAAAGAATTAACCACTTTTAGGTCCTTGAATTTACCGAAAAACATCTTTGAAAGTCCTAAAAAAGTTCTGGAATTTCATCTTCACTAAAGGGAAGCAGTGAAATCTTCTTCTAAACAAGTACACATACTATACAATTGTCATGAAGCAGAAGTTAAGCCTGAGTAATTGATAAATACAACTAAAATTGATATAATTAAGGGAACGGATCGGAGCATGCACACTACAGTACTGTATATTCACGGGAAAGGTGGTACAATTAATGTTAGAGCGTAGCAATTGGAATCCTCAAATTATACAGTTGGTAATGTTTGCCTAAGACTAAGTGCAGAAACGTACCGTACCCATAGTTTAGTGAGCAGCTCTACAAAGTAATTATAAGAACCCAAATTACTAAATAGATCATGCCAAAACCTCTTTTTTAGGTCAAGAGGAATGATTTATGTAAAAATGAAAAATGGCAGAAAGTGACTATTTTGACATGAACTATATACAAATGTCTGCACAGTAGTGTACGAGATCTGAACTTCGAACTCTATTCGCATGTTGAACCATCAATGAAAATTGAAAATCATACCACAAAAAATACACAATCATAATAAACTTCGAAACACATTATTGTATTTTTCCTCCATAAGCAGGCTTGGAAACTGATCTAAGGATTCGTATGTATTTTGGAGCTATAATTGTATTTCAAATGCAAAGCACATACAAATTACATTCTTAGACTCCATACCAATTATTATACAATTATTGGAAGAGGTTGAGCAAAATATCGTGATTTGTCAGTGGCAAGCAGATCAATTATTTTCCGATGCCAAAGTCAGAGGCAAATAATTGATATGCGAGCCACTGACAAATCGCAATATTTCGCAATATCATGTCAGGTAATCGAGTTCAATAATTGTTTTATCACTTACTTATTCATTTTCGAAATTTTGTGGCCGTCACGAAGTTCAACAAATCTGTACAATAACAATATCTGAAAATTTAATTGTTGTAGATTATAATTTATGTTTACTTTTGTGTTTATTTGAATTGCTTTTCAAAAATTTTAAATGCGCATGTGTAAATCAATATTTTGCGAGAAATGATTTAAAAAGTGTGCATGCTCAGACCATTATTTGGACCAGTTAGTTGCAGCTGATGTATTATTCTCCCCAGTTATTTGTAGGAAAATTAGCCAATCAACATTGAGAAAATGAATAAGTAAATGATAATATAAATTATACTGATTATTAATTCAATGGCTTTGTAGATTATTTTCTGATTTGTAGGCGAAAAGAACCGTTGGCTAAGGTGCTTCAAGAAACACTGCTAAAACTTTGTTGTTGCAAGTAAAACAAATATGTTATTCAAGCATGGGCGGATTTACTGGGGGGTGGGTTAACCCCCCCTAGAATCACTCTAACCCCTCTTATGAAGTGTTCAACCCCACTAAAATTTCGCCTCACCCCTCCAATTTTGTGTGAAAGTCTTTAACCCTAACGCATAACCCAGTGGCGTAACGTTATATCAGGGGGGCCCCGGTTCAAAATTTTCGAAGGCCCCCCAGTAGAAGTGCCAAAGGCATGAGTCGAGTGCCGTATATGCGCAAGTTTTCTAGGGGGTCCAGGGCATGCTCATCCAGAAAATTTTTGAATCTAGACTCTCTGAAATGCCATTTCCTGGACTTTGGGTCAGAAAACGACATTGTAACATATCAGAGGCCCTGGCCAATGTTTTTGCTCTATCGCCTAAGCCTGGGGGCCCCCATTTGGACCATTCTCCCGGTCTAAGCCCATAGCAGTTATGCCACTGGCGAAGGTTGCTCAGTGGTGCCGCTTGCACCCCTCTAGAAAGTTTTCCACCCCTGCTTTAAAAAAAATGAAAATCCGCCCTTGTATTCAAGCAGGAGGGAGATCGGTAGTATCTGAAAATAATGTTGGAGTCTCCTACCAAATCAATTTATTGTTGTTAGCTAATCCAGCTAGTTTACAGGTATGCCATAAATATGTGAGACTTGATAGGTCTTGAGTCCCTTTTTAGAGGTATACATGTCCAGGTCTGCTGAGAGGGTGGTCAGGGGGTTATCTGCCAGGCCCCTGGCAGATCAAAAGGGCCCCCCAAAGTGAAAAAGGCTAAAATTTGTTGATACAACATAGTTGCCAACTTTGGAAAGAAACATCTGTTAGATTTTGCTTTGGGGAGCCCACAAGGCTGGCCCATGGTTGGCACAGAGCGGAAAAATATGAAGTCTAATTAGATCGTTGGAAATGGCATTTTCAGAGTTTTCTCTACCTTATACACTCAACTTCTGGTAGCTTTTATTTAGAT